ACCACGAGTTGCCAAAGTAGAAGGAATATGAGGACCATCAATTTCCAAAGCTTTATTTAAATCTAATAAAGAAGCACCATAAAAACCAAGAGCACAATAAACTTTAGCACGTCTACTAAGAGTATAAACGTTATTAGGATCTAAATCTAAAGCAAGATTTAAATCATTTATAGAATCATCAAAATGTTTTATTGAATAATAAACTTCAGCTCTAGCTCTTAAAGCGAAAACATTTTTTGGTTGTAATTTTAAAGATTTGTTGAAATCCATTAAAGATTCTTTATAAGAATTTAATAATCTATAAATTTCACCACGTAAAGTATAAGCACGAGGATTCTTTGGTTTTTTTAAAATAGCGAAATTTAAATCACCAATAGCTCTATCCCATTCTTCAACTTGATAAGAAGCATAAGCTCTATCACATCTTATAGAATAACTATTAGGATATTTTAATAAAATATCAGAAAATAAATTGATAGCATCATGATATTTCATTGATTCTAAAGCTTGAATAGCATATATTAAAGAAGGATGATGTTTCTTTGGTTTTTTGAATAAAGTTGATAATCTTTTTTGACAACGTTGATTTGGAATTTTTATATTTGTAATATTATTATTATTATTATTATTATTATCAATATTATCAATATTATTATTATTATTATTTATTCCAATTGAATTTTCATTTTGATCATCGTTAGAAGATTTATTAGAATCTTCAATTGAACTATTTTTTGTATTAAAAGAATTAATGGTAGAAGTTGAAATACCATTTAAATTATTGATAATTTGAGAATTTTCAGAAGAAAGTTGAATAATTGGCATACTTCTATGAGAAGTAGAAATTGGAAGAGTATCAGAATAAGAGAAATATTTTGTAGAATTTTCATTAACTTCTGAAATAGATTTATCTTTTAAAATTGAAGTACGTCGAGGTTTTGTAAACCATCTTATACTATTTGATAAAAATGAACTATCACTAAATCTTTTTTTAATTTTATTACTAGGTTCATCTTTTACTTGAAGAAATTCAGAATTCCTTGAAGATGAATACTTTATATGTTGAGGATTTTC